ATATATATATATATATATATTATGTGTGTATATATATGTGTATATAGTGTATATATAAGTATATATATATATATAGTGTATATATAAGTGTGTGTATATATATAGATAAAATTTAATATATATAATTACAAAAATTAATTTTATAAAATTACATTTATTATTCAAAATTAATTTCGATAGGGGGAACGACGATTCTAGGTAAAACTTCAAGGCGATTTTCACGGGCGACTGGGTCAGTCTGTTGGATAGATCTTATTTAAATTATCATCATGAGTCTTCCTCGCGGCGGATCGGGTTCCGGTTTGTTTTGAATTTTTTGGTTTCGAATTTAATCCGGGGATACATTCAAAGTGGTGGATCTCGTCTAGACGGCTGGTTACGTCACGAGACAAGGTCGCCCACCGTTTCATTCTAGAGCAAGACGGAATCTCAGGCTTGATCCTATATATCTTATTTCTTCTCCTCTTTGCTCTCGTACCACTTTATTATCTCTTCCTTGGTTTATCTCAACCCCTCTGAGATTCGGGCACTTTGTTCCCCTACCAAAGACAGAGAGAGATGGATCACCCTGTAGCATCTTTCGGGTCTCCGGTATCCGACGACCCTATTCACCGCGTTTGACACTTGGACCGTGCCTTCTGGTTAGCTTGATTCTGGGAAAGGATTCGTGGGAAGAAGATGGGAATAAATAAAATTTACTCACACTATGTTATACGCTTATTCGGTACGTCTGTTTTTGAGGTTACGAGTGCCGTATTAAAATTCATGAAAAAAATTTTTTATCCTTTTATTCAAATTATGGGCTTACGCGACTGTTACGTACGAGGTCACGTGTCGTGGAAGTTTTTTTTGACAGTTAATCTTATTCCTGTCTGTCTCGTCCATTAACTATTTAGATTTAGGTATCTAGATTCCTCTCGACTTCTAGCCGCGGCGATCGGCTCGGTCTGCCTATCAATAATTCAGCACCGGCAGGCATGAGAAATTCGAAAACACGGATGAAAATGAGGCAACTTCATGCTTTCGAAATCGCAAACGCGTTACCTAATTTTGCATTCGCATACGATTGAATTTCTATACGTACTCGAGTTCTTGGTTTCTGTGTACTCGTTTTAGCCATTGGCAATCCGATTTCACGAGTTAGCATACATCACGTGTTTATATTAGAAATGAAAAGTTATCAAAATTTTTAGTGTGATTTTATAAATATATTCAATTTTTTAATCATAAATTCTTATCGGTTATACTGTGGTGTGAAAGGGATGCTGCAAAATTTTACTGAAAATATTTTTATTTCTTTATCTGTCATTCGCCCACGTGGCTTTCATACGTCAGGTACGACGAACCGTTGTCAAGGATCGTGCTGGTGATACTGAAAATTAATAAGGGTCTTTCGTATTACCGTAACGTTACGCAACGACAATGAAAAGCATAGCGGCGGGTCCAGACAGTCTGGCACGAAAGTGACTCCAGTAGAAGGTACAGATTCCAATCTAGTTTCGACAATACCATGCCGCGGCTAATTTACTAATTTACCCGTAATTGCCTTCTTGGAACGGACTGTCCAAATATATTTAGATAAGGTAACCTTATCTGACAGTAGAAATGCTTGCGTATGATAATTAACATTGTTTTACAGGGGGCATGCATTGACGTGGATGCACGTGTGTACTTGGAATATGCATTTTGGGTCATTCACGTGATATTATTATTATTGAAAAATTTCATTCTTTCGTATCAGTTTCTCAAAAGGTAATTGAAAAATCAAAAACAGTGCCCGTTAGGATCGCCAGGCGGTTGGGACTGTAATACATTTTTTTTATATGCCACACTTTGACTTTTATCGAATCTCTGTTTAAACGGATGAAACGATCATATTCGTAAGACACGACGATAAGGATAAACACGCGAATTGTATTTGCTTCGATATCTGGGCCACAGCGTCTCGTTTCCCAATGAAGTCGCGGACTCCAGTCCATCTGCCTAATGACGATTCATCGTCAGCTTGCTTTGGTTCAACGCACTGCGATCTCCGCTACTCTAATGCCAGTGCTCTACTGCAATAACACTGTCACACTTTACTCGGTGTCTTCGTATTTTATGCCTTTGGTAACGAGGGAGGAATTCGCTGCGCAATAAAGCATCAGCCATGCGATCTCGTTGAAGCAGCCAGGGCTGATGTCAATTTTCATTTTTCTTAAGGATCGACTGTTAACAAATTTTTGTATTCGCTTTTCGACAGCATAAAAATTTTTTTTTTCTTTTTAACAACATAAAACTGATTTTCATAATACACTCTGGAGAAAGTAATTTAGTAAGGGGTTGAAAATGTGGGGATTTTTCAAATATTGAGTCCACGGTTGAAAATTGATTATTTTTAGAAAAAAAATTTTTTTTTTAGTGTCAAAAAAATCCAAGCACGTTGTGAGCGCACCTTTACGACCTAATTGTTTAAGAGAGCTTAACGTAGATGGACGCCGTCGTATTTACTTTTTATTGGCAGACGATATTAATATCTCTGTTATTTAGGGCAAACGATACATCCACTCCGGCTATTGTCGCTTTAATGATAAACAAATTAATTAAATAATATTTTCTGTCGCCCGCTCTCGTAAAGTCCCAACGAAAAAAGTCCCCGGCATCGAACGCCTCGAATCTCCTACAAATCCACTCGGCAATCTCCCTCGTCGTATGAAAAACGGATAAACAAGATTAAGAATATTAAAAGAAAGACTATATTAGCATTAAAGTACACAATCAAGTCCAATTAAAGCAGCGCGAGCGTAAAAATACGTTAAAAATAATGATCTCACAGAGAGGAAGGATTACTCCCATGATATGTGGGCCAGACAACAATAATTGTCATGCATTTCCTGATTGACATAGAGGGAGCCGCCGTTAATTCCTGTCCTCGCTATCTTTAGCGACTCCCACAATGCAACGCGGCATACTCATATACATTGAATTGGTTAAATATCACGACACAAACTTTCCTACCAATCGTCCTGCGTCCCTACAGCCGCGCACGTAAAATTCCCTACGATGCGCTATGGGAAAATCTAACCTAACCTAAAAAGAAATCCCGCAATAACGTTGCTGGAAAAATCTTAAACATCCGATGACTCCAACCTAACCTATCTTTAACGACGGGATGACGAGTATGGTTACGGGTGGTGTCGTCGCCTTTAATCTACCGTTCCGTTCTTCGGTCAATAGAAGATTCTGACGGCGATGTTCACATAACGGTACCGTGACTCCTTATAGCCACGCACTACGGCGATGCTCTGCTGTTTCGCTCGCGCAAATGTCCACGCGCTCTTAGTACGCAGATATATACGTACATACTAACAATACGTTTTATCGAGTCTCACACGTTTATAGATATGGCTACGCGTTAACAGTCACATGTGTACGCGAGTTGGCAGCATTGGCTCTCCATGAGGACACAAGACGTGTACTAGGATGTACAACGCGATACTCGGACGGAATGCTAAAGTAATGGGGATCGGGTGAGTTGCTGAACGAAGACGAAAAAGTGGCACTGCGCGTGGAAAAATTTTTTTTTTTCAAAATGAAAATACAGATCAGTCAGGATATTAAGGGATGTTTTATTTAGGGGTTACTATCTTTTTTTTTCTTGTTAAACATTTTTTTTCTATTAACCCGGGGAATCGCGGAATACTTGTAATACGATTTTCCTAGGGATGACGCGTCACCAAATAATCGAGGGCTGCAGGGATACCTGCTATACCCTGTGTCGATCGTCATTTTCATTGCGGATCGATAAGCACTCTGGACTCGGAACCTATATGATTCTGTTGAACCATTATGATTGTAACTGGATGTGGTACTTAAGTATATTTGTCATGTATTTAGATACACAGTGGGAGAGGATGGATGCATTTATCTATTTGTTTTTAAATACGGATAATTTAAAAATGAAGTATTTTCTCCTGTTGGAAAAAAATCAGCTTTACTTTGCCCATAATTATTGCGGTCGAAGTAGCTTTATAAGCGGATATCATCAGGGAGCCCAATGCCGTGTCATGACGAAGAGTAATAGCTATGAAAATGAATTCCGTGCCAATTAAGATAACCTAGTCCTTCCAGCAATAGAACGTCGGAAGATGCAACAGCTGTATATATATATAGACGAGAAAGGGGTATCCGATACTTTCTACAAGATTCACCTCACTTTCATTAAAAACCTGCTTTCCGTCTCATCCAAGAAGTCGGTACCATTGAGAACGATTGAACAATTGAATTCTGTTATATAAGTATTGATAAAAAAAACATTAAAAATCGATATCTATCAATTTACCAAAGTCTTGTTTTCATGCGTACCAAGATGAATTAGGGTTGAACAAATCAGAGTATAAGATTGGAAACAAACGTACGAGAGAAGATGCGAAGCGTAAGCGTCGCGACGCCTGAGGCCAAGTACGCTCGCGATATACGCACGAGACCGGTATTCTCATAATAGTGGGGGATAGTCGGCGATCGGTACTTCACGAATGGCACGACTCAGTTTTTGCCAGTCGCCAAACGAGCTAAGGACCAGGCCACTAGTTTTGGATAGGGCGGCCATCGGAGTGGCAAAGAGTAAAAGCGTGTGCACCATAGACGCACCATCCAGCCGGCGCAGTGTGGACTGCGCAGTGTTTGGTAAAGAGAACATAACATAGCATAACAGTGAAGAAGGGAAGAGTAGAGCAGAGTTAGCGAGGAGTGAAGAGTCTGGCGAGCGGGTGAGAGAGTGACTGTTAGAGGGAGAAGTTGTCGTTGACTGAAAGGGTATAGAAATATTGAGAGAGGGAGAGCTAGTGATTGAAGGGAGAGAGAGAAAGAGAGAGAGAGAGAGAGAGAGAGAGTGTAAAGGAACGGGGACTAGAAGAAGTCAGAGGAATGCGCATGTGTGTGGAATTGAGGGAAGAGAGTGAGAAGAGCGAATGAGAAAGGGTGGAAGGGGCAGTGGGAAGAGGGGCAGGGGAGTGAAGGGCTGCTACGTACAAGAGGAGAAACGAAGAGCGGACGCCGCGCCGGAGTGGAAGAGCGGAGTTTGAGTTTCGGTTTCGTTTGACGCGCGCTCTTCGGATCACTTCAGTCGCGCGTGAACCGCAGACCCGAGAGCATCGAGCATCTTACGGACGCTTATTTTGGACATTGCACTATTAATATCGTCCCTCGTGTCCGTACTGGCTTTTATTCAGTATCTCGTCCCGTAGAGATATTTGGTTATGTCGTTGGTATGACACTTACCGTTCAGACGTGACTATCGCCGTTTGTATCGTGGCGCGCTGTCTTTTAGGATAAATATTTAGTATAGACGAGAAGTACTTTATGCTCGTGTAAATTGGCTCGATGGTAAAGAGGTTAGTGTTGTTTGGAGAAGGTAGTGAGAGGTCTGTGAGTGCGCGGATTTTTAACTTGAAGTAGAAGCTTTTATGAGAATTCCTTTAGAGATCTATGTATGTAGATGATTGGAAGATTTGAGGTTACGAAGCATTTTTCGACGATTGTAAATACAGACCGAGTGTCCTGCTCCTACTGGAATATCAGTTTAAACGCATAGAGGGTGATATGTGGGATACAACGAAACGTACAACAATATCGTGATTTTGTTGTTATTGTTGTTTGCTATGTAGTTTTTTATGATAAACTCGTGACTTTTATTAAGATATACTTTGTTCACTTTTAATCGCGGGCTTTCACGTACACGTGATACGGAGAAGTGATACACGCGAGACGTATTTCTTTCGTGGGAGCCACAAGTACGTAATACAGTAAGCGTACGTATTGGATATGCAAGCTTCTGTTTTGTGAGGTTAGCCAGAAAGGTGTGACGTGCGTGTTATTGTCTGGGACGTCTGAGGGATTATTGAAATGTCGATGCACCAGCTTGTTGCAACCTCGTGAACGTCAAGGACGCACCCCGAAAATAAAGAGGTCGCTGCGGTATCCGATGGGTTCAGGCGCATCCGCACCCTCGCGTCTAAGAAAGAACTGGCAGTGAAAGCGTGGAGGAAAATAAAGAAAGGACAGAGAAAAAAGAAGCAGAGACCATTTGGTTTTTCGTGGCATCCAGCTATTTTTGAAGGAAGACGCTCAAGTATTTTGACTGCGACCCATTGCGACGTTGCGCCGTCTATTGACCGTCCACAATTACGCAAATGACAGGTACGAATTTGCTTTGAGTCTTATTTTATTTTAAACTTTCATAACTCGTCTTTTTTTTTACGAGTGTTCGAACTGATAACTGTCTTATCAACGGTAGAGAATCGGTCGTTGTTCTTATGGGAAAAGTAGTCAACTCGTGACGTGCACACTGGGCCGTTTTGATCCATAAAATATTTGTCTGTCTATTCGGAGAAATGCAAAAGAGGGGTTATTACCGGTTTCATCTCATTCAGGAACTTTTTTGTATGACTCTGGGGAAGGTTCGAACAGCTGCTATATTAGAGTGAAAATTTTCTTCCTTCGTTGTACCTCGATGTTCCTACGCTGAGTAGAAGTCAGTGAAGACGTATTCCCATGCAATTCGAGTTCTCATTTGTGCCGTACGTCGCAGATGTTTTCGTATCTTTCACTTTGAGGTTTGAAAGAAGATTTCAGGAACCTCCTGAGACCGTAAGTCGAAAAAAAAGAAGGAAGAACGCATTTCTCGTTATTCCCAATTAAATCGTCTATTTTTCGCTCGTGCTCCTGTTTTGGTCCCTTTATTCGCTGTCTTTGAACGCCCGTTGAGAATTTATTTGCCGTTTCAAATCCGCCTGGCACCGACGAAGATATTTTCGAAATTTCACCTCAATCTCAGACCCTCTAGTATTCAACGATCGTACGCACGACTGACAATAATGCAAGAAAGTGCCGTTAACTGGGCGGTAGAATCTTCATGTAAATGCAAAACCGAAATAAACGCGTTGAATATTCATCCCGTGGATGTCGCGGCGACTTGAAGTGCGCCTAAAAGCCCACAAGGCCTTGTTATCGATTAGATTTTTACATACAAAAATTTTTTTAATGCCACCCTACAGAATCCAAATAAATTTCGAAATTCGACTATATCGCGCACATGCATGTTACGACTGATTACGAGAACCACGTACATGCGCACCATTATCAGATACCAATAACGCTTAAAGAATGAACTCCGGATTGCAATCAGACATATTCAATCATTTCCACTTTTCGTCCTTTGAATTTTTTAACATTATTTCTCGCTTCCTCGATAATCTTTCAGATCTTATCAGCATCTACATTTGCATCTAAAGTCCAATCGATACTCAAGATTACATATTGATTCTGTACTAAGTAAATTTTAATACAATATTATTAATTCAAAATCCCACAAAAAATTATCCCAACTCTTTCCGCGTATTTTACTTTGTAAACCCGCCGTAAGGATCTCTCGTTATACGGTTCGGTACGTTTGGCAAGTCGGTACAGGATTCGTGGGCACCGCGGGCAAGAAAGAAACATGGAAAAAGACGAACAAGCGAAGCTGATAATGAGGGTCCATAAAATCAGCCCGTTTCTTCCTCTCGCTCTTTTCTTACGTCTCCGCTTCACCTTCGGTTACGTTCTATACGATTTTAGGCACTGTTCACAACTGTAAATATATGCCGATTTCGCAATTCGATCTTTCTACGAAAATATTTGAGGCTACGTCGTTACGCAAAACCTGACGTGTACTTCTAGGTTATACATTATATTTACTACTTTTCGTAACTGCCTTCAGTACGTAGATATATTTTAGTTGGCATTCCTTATTTTTTTATCCCTCTGTGAATGCCGCCTTAAACCCGATCCGCGGGCGTTCGCCGTCATTAGCTAAATAACTGCCTCGGCCTGAATACATTTACTCTTATTATCATCTCATATGTGGAATTGTTTGCATCGTAAAGCAACGTCGTATTACTTTGCGAATACGAAATGCGAACCGAAAATCATCTCTCTGTATCTTTTGGCAGTTTGGATGCGAGCCTTTCATTATATACGTAAATATATATATATATATATATATATATATAAATAAATTTGTGGTTCACGTACCTACAGCGAAGAGCATGCAATTTAATGAGATAAATTACAAAAATTCGTTATTTGCTGAACCAAAAACTAAATACATCGGCCAAACGGTCGTCTTACCAGCTATGAGTCATTTGGTATAATTTTCGGTACCAGGAAACTGGCGGCTCCTTTTTTTCTATTGAATATCCAGAGGAGATTGACTCTTGAAAAACAGGAATGATACAACTTGCTTAAGGTAGAATGTTTTTGTACGATGCCGTTTATCTCTTTACGGATCACCCTGTATAAAGTCTCATTGAAAAGTGGACTTCCACCTCCAGCACTTTCATTTTCTCCGAACAGCTGATTGTCAGCAGGTCCAACACTCTATGGACCTCCGAAGCTTTGTTAATTAAATTTGTTAATTTTTTGCTGTCGCAAACGAAATTTTCTTAGACTAATTAACGACGTGGTTTATGCACGTGATAATTTTGGCCAAAAGTTTTGAATATCAGTAGGCAGCTTTTTATGTTTTATTTATACTCTACGCGAAGTACGGTCGAGAAATAGAATTTCTTTCTATATATGAAGCGTTTATTTATTCGCCTGTCTGTACAAAGTGGAATATCGATCGAACGACAAGGTTTCAATTTAATTGATATTCTTGCGACTGATTGTTATTCGTATAAAATACCTTTGTCGACGATTTGTCAATTATCGAAATTGAAATTTCGCCCAAGTACACGTAGGTAACAGTGAAAAAAAAATTTTTTCACGACACTGACGACACGTCTGGATATAATTCAATACGAACGAGCAATGGCGGACGAAGGATTTCATAAGGATCACAGATCCTGATGCAGCGAATCTCAAGTTCCTCACGTACATCTGCAAAGAAGGCAAAACAAGGTACCCAGGGCGTTGTTCAATGGCAGAATCCTTGCGAGACGGCCGAGTTGGCCGCAAAGTAGCAAAACGTTAAAATAAAACGAAAATGGATGGTAGATGAAATGCGGGGACTAACTGGAAGTGGTAGTAATAACTTACAGGACGGTGATATAGCGCGAAGCGTTATACAGGGTGATACCTTTGAAAAAATACGTTCGAACGTACCGTATCCCATAAACGTAAAACGTCCCAAAGGGGATTCAAGTTGAAACAACCGGTGGTATACGATAAAAAATTTATTTTCAAAAAAAAAGTTGTACAGTGAAAATTCCTCGAAGAATTACAAAATCATCACTTTTGATTACACCTGACGGAATTTTGTCTTTATAAATTTTTTTCTCCCACTCAAATATCCCGCACAGCCGATGGGTAAAATTAATCGACGCACCCTGTAGAAAGGATGCAACTGTTGGCTGTACGTATTTTCCAAGTGTCGGCTGATGCATGTTCTTGAACTCAGGAGCCGCCAAGGTTGTGGGAGTAGTCGTAGATAAAGTGGACAAGATTCAAACTGGTAGTACGACGAGTTCGAAAATGCGAGTCCGTCCTGTTACTTTGAGGTGTCGTACGAAAGTGACGTTTTACCAAGTTGGACGAATCAAGCCAATACGGGAGGAACAGCTGTCGAGCTCCTTTTTTTTTATCAAATATTTTTTCTTCTCGCTTCGCGCCATTAAAGCCCAGTACACGCCATAAGGTATACCCCAGGTGTCGTACGAGAACGTCCTAGGACTTTGTCTAGGTACGGCCCTGGGCTTAGATGCCTTGGCTACTGCCGGGAGAGCAGGAAAATAGAGAAGCAAAGTTAACGCGGAGACTATTACCCGTAGACACAGACCGATGAGATAGAGGAGCTCTAGGAATTCCGAGCGAAGAGAATGAATATACGTGAATATTACCGATTCGTCTGTAGGATAAAGGTGCGAATTGTCGAGTCTTTTTTTTTTCTTCTCATTCGCTATCTCCGTCTTTCTCGATGCGCGCATGCAAACCCATATCGGGACTCCGTGTTGAGCGAGTCACAAGAATGAAAACAGGTTGTGCGACGATATGAGTTATCTTGGCGCATGGGCGTGTCGTGACTTTCTTGATGCGCCGATCGTGCACGTTACACCTGTAATAATGGGGGCTTAATTAAAAGTGAACTTCTTGCTGAGCACGTCTACTGGTAGTCTGAACTCTTTTTTTTAGACCACATTGTACAGGCACGTATTATGGACGGAATGAGTCTAGTGGGACTTACCGTGTACAGTATATCTGTATTTAGCGTCTGGCAGGCCGGCAAGTAAAAGCGATCATATGGAAATAAAATTGGAAATACGTGCGTGGACATTCGCTGAAAGGATGTCCTTTTAATTGGACTATATTGCACGTCATCGCGGTTTGGATCTTTCGAGACGGTAAGCGTCTCTATGGGTTATTCGTAACGGACGTCGGGATTTTTTTTATCTAATGTAATATAATGCGTGTTATTATGCACGAGATTGGGCCTCGGCGCGCATGCGCGGTAGGTATATGGATAATCGTAAAAAAAAATTATCTTGAGCTATATGCTGTTCTCTATGCTGTATGTAGGGTGCAGTCTTGTTGCACGAAACGTCACTTCTTTCTCTTTTTCATATTTTTTATTTTTACTTTCATTCACTTTACAAGCTACAATGCAGTGACCGTCATCTGATGCAGTGTCTCTCAATCGACGATATCGATGGGAATCGCTGAGGAAAAATTATGGCGAACCTGTGGGAAAGTGAAGAAAAATTATTTGGGAAATTTTTTAAAATAATTTCTTATTTCTATTTCAATAACTCCGAGTAGTTATTTTGTATACTTTGTGGGCTTTTTCGCGCTTTTTTTTTTGGCTTCTTATCCGTTCAATAAAGTACGGACGCGATTTACGAAGCGTAACGAGCTATTATGAATTCTCGAGGTTCAATATTTTCGTAGCGATGTATATAATCAATGCGTCGCGCTGTTGCAACGCGATGCCGTTTGATATCGCGAGTTTTATTTGTCTAGTGATAAGAAAAAACATATATATATATATATGTTTCTTTCGTTAACATAAAATCCTATCGACATACAGCCAAGCAAACTTTCATTAACGTCGATTAATATTAGGTACTGCGATACTATGTCGTGTTTTATTAATTTCGAAAATTACGAAATTATAATCATAATATAACGGAACAGGAACGACCGATAACGTATATATTCATCCG